AAAGTATCAGCTTCTCACTGCTGACGTTTACATTAAGAGTCGGCTTAATTTTATAATGATAATCTGTTTTACCAGAAGCTAGAATGTCAAAATGATCCCACTTGATGTTGTGACCTGTGGCTTTTATATGGTCGGCAATGGCTGATGTGGGGTCATTCTTAGTGAGAGCTCTGAAATGGGCGAACGTCAAGTTATTAAAATGCGTAAGTTTAATATGTTTATCACCGCTATTTGTGTTTTATTCCTTGAGTGAGCTTCATTAGTAACTCTGAAAGCATAATCAACTTGCTCCCCACTAGCTTTTAGCTCTTCTTGCACTTGATTCATTCCTGGTTTCTTTGGTTTAGTTTTGCAAACGTTAGCAAAATGATCTTTCCCTTTATATCTCCTACAGGTCTGACCCCTAGCAGGACATTTTGGATCTCTACTCAGGTGCCCATTCGACCCACAACGATAGCACTGAATTCCATTTTTCTTTCGGTTTTGTTTACCAGCGGGTCGCTCAGGTTTTTCGTAAACCCTGTTTGCATCCTCTTTCCTCGGCTCTCTCACACTGGGATAAGACGTTTGGTGGGCTACACTTTCACACTGTTCTGCGATTTCTAATGTGCGAGCGAGCGTTAGCTCCACTCTTTCCACAAGCAGTTTGCGCCTTACATAGTCTGACCTACATTTACGCAGGACAGCGTCTCTTACCTGGTTGTCAAAGTCTGCACCAAAATTGCAATCCTTTTCTTTTTTTCTTAATCGAGTAACAAACTGCAAAACAGTTTCACCTTCCTTTGTTGGAGTCAGTGAAATTTCTGGCGGGCGAAAGCTGTATTGACTTTGGGAAGAAAATATTCATTCAATGCTGTTACAGCCGCGGAGTAGTCGGTTGCTTCTCCGGTATCCGCGAGAGTAGAGAAGATTTCTTGTACATCTGGGCCTGCTAAATGGAGTAGCATCGCTCTTCTTCGCTGCCTCGTGTTTGCATTTGTAGTCTCACTGATAATGAGACCTTTGCCATCCGCAAATAACCGAACAGATGTCAACCAACGCGTCCAGCGCGGTCCCAACGTGGCGGGATCCTAGTGACAATCGAACTTAGGAATCGCATTTGAAGCGCCATTTTCGCTAAAAGACATGATCTTGTGCCGTGCTTGTCCTCGTCGCCAATGTCCTGTCCTCTTGGTACATAAATTAGAGGAGGTTTAACTGGCTGGAGAAGTGAAACTAGTTCAGAAAGAAGCACACAACAAGTCGACCATGTGCTCTCTTAATTTTTCTCTCCCATGCTGTTCCTTGTCTACTTCATGACATACATGCACGAAATGTGACATACACGACAATTATATACATTAATTAATGCCTGACGGTCTACATTGGTGACAATAATTATTAGCACTAGGTTTTTGCCGTCTTTCTTCAATTAATCTACATGTAATTTTTTTCTTGGCTGCGTGCTCGAGCTTTCTTTTAAACGGTTATCGATTTAAAAGGCATTATGAAGAGGAATTTGCTGAATGAGCAGTGTTTATACTCTATACTCTATACTCTGTACTCTATTTATAAATAACACGAATGATATATAATCGTTTCGTGAAATTAATATTTGTATTTTTTAGTGAATGATCACTTTAAGATCATTTTGTTAGATGAAAGACATCTCCAACTCTGGCGGAAACCTAAATGTCAGTTGCAACACACTCCTCTGTGGCAGTCAAACGTACCGAGGCAAGTTATCAAATGTCCTATTCAGTGTCTAATTTAAAGTAGCCTTAGGTATAAAATACATTAATATCACTCAGTTAGCATCAATTGCCTGGCACTGCTTAGTCCCAAAACAACAAACAAAGAAAAAATTTAACAAAATACACTGAACCTGTACAAACTTTCTCCACCATCTACATGTATCACAGGCAGTTAGCTTCAACAGGGTGATACTTTATTATTACGAACGTTTTTTTTTTTTTTTTGCTTTTTTTCTTTTGCTTTTGTGTCAGTATACATACTTTTTTTGGCATGGGACTATCTGACTATGTTCAGTAGGTACAATAAAATGTAAAAGATCCTTTACAAGACTCTCCCTTACCTTAGAAAGTTTGCTCTTACCAGCACCCTGTCCCACCACATTATAACTTGTTTTCTTGCTCATTGACTGAGTCACCTTGCCATCATACCTCTGAATCAAATCTGCAGCGTCATCTCTCTCAATACTTTCCAGCACTCCAGTAATAACAAAATTAACGTCAGTCCCTCTATGCAGTTTTCCTCTCCCTGTAAATGCAGTCAAATAACATTAATTTTGACCATTACTTGGCCAAAAAAGAAATTGACTAAGATTTGTTCAGGACAAAGAAAAGCTCATAACAGCATAGTGCTTGTGTTAATGGAGTGCTTCCAAGGTATACATGTAGCTCTAATGTACATTCACCTCAAATTAAGGTATGTGTATGTAAGCATTGAGTTGTAACTACAGCTGTAAGTACTTGTAAAACACACAGTCAAGTACAAGTAACTGTTTTTATTGTAGACAACTTGCCAGACTCACTCAAGATTGAATGAAAATGCGTGAAATTGCAAATAACAAAAATGATAGTAATTATGAATCTCCATGTCCACTACCTGGACAATATAACATTCTTTTTAATAAACATTCATAACTATTTGCATTTTTATTATTTTGCAATTTCACACATTTTTATTCAATTTCTTTTGTTTTCCTTCGCTTCTTGTCATCAACATTTTACCCATCAAAGACTGCAGTTCAGGCAGTCGAAAGCTTGTAATTTTTTAATTGTTTCAGCCAGATATTGTTTTTAATTTTTTTACCAAATTAGTTTGTTTCTTGCTGTCAAAACTATGTCGAAACTGGAGATCGAACACAGTGTTAAATTCCAAAAGGACATTTAAAAAAAATAGTTGTTGTGGCTCACCTCCTCCAGACAACATAGAATTTTGGTTATTTGACGTTGTTGTTTTGTAAAAGACGGCAAAGAAATGTACTAAGAATTATATCGCAAGTGCACAGTCATTGTATTGCTCTTTAAACCATTTGTTCAAAGCAACGCTTTTTAAAAAACATGTTTCAACAGAATCTTCTGTCATCTTCAGTTTAAATTACAAAGTACAGAGTTGAATATATAGTGTACACAAAATGCTGAATGCTCACATATCTGCATGGAAAAATGCCGGGTGGTTTGGCCGACATAACAGGCATTAAAGCCCGCACACAAAAACTTGT